TATTTTCCTGAATTTGCTGAGGCTTTCTTTGTGTCCTGTCATGTGGTCTATCTTTGAAAAACTTCCGTGAGCCTTTGAAAAGAATGTGTATTTTTCTTCTTTGGAATGTAAGGTTCTATATATGTCAGTTAAGTCTATTTGATTCAGTGCGTCATTCAGCTCCACAATATTCTTATTTATGTTTTGTTTGGAAGATCTGTCGATTTTTGACAGTGGGGTGTTGAAATCCCGTAGTATCGGTGTGTTGCTGTCTATATCTTTTTTGAAGTCCTCCAAGATTTTCCTTATATATTTGGATGCTCATATATTGGGGGCATAGAAGTTTACAATGTTTATGTTTTCTTGATCGATACTTCCTTTAAGTATGATAAAGTGCCCCTCTGGGTCTCTCTTTATGGCCTTTGTTTTGAAATCTACTTTGTCTGATAGAAGTATGGCAACCCCGGCCTTTTTCTCTTGCCCATTTGCTTGGAATATTTTTTCTATCCCTTTACTTTCAATCTGTGTAGGTCTTTGGCTCTGAGGTGGGTCTCTTGTGGGCAGCAAATGTGTGGGTCATGTTTTCTTATCCATTCAGCTATCATGTGTCTTTTGATTGGGGCATTTAGTGCATTTACATTCAGAGCTATTACTGATAGAAACCTATTCATTTTTTCTCTTTTTACCTGTGTTTTTCTTTTTCTCACTCTTTTCCTTCATCTTCTTAAACCAGTCCCTTTAGCATATCTTGGAGTGCTAGTTTGCTCGAGACATATTCTTTTAGTGTTCTTTTGTCTGTGAAAGTCATTTCCCCTTCTATTTTAATTGAGAGCCTTGCTGGACAGAGCAACCTTGGTTGTAGGCTCTTGCTTTTCATGACTTGGAATATTTGTTGCCATTCCCGTCTGGGTTGTAGTGTTTCTGTTGAGAAGTCAGCTACTAGCCGTATTGGGGCCCCCTTGTATGTTACTTTCTCCTTCTCCCTTGCTGCCTTGAGGATTCTTTCCTCGTCTTTGATAGTTGCCATTTTAATGATGATGTGTCTTTGAGTGGACCTCCTTGGGTCTCTCTTGAGCGGGGCCCTCTGTGCCTCCTGGATCCATGAGACCTTTTCTTTCCTCAAATTGGGGAAATTTTCCATCATTACTTTTTCGAGGAGGTTCTCTATCCCTTGCTCCTCTTCTTCTCCTTCTGGTATCCCTATTATGTGGCTATTATTGCATTTCAGGTTGTCCTGCATTTCCCTAAATGCCTCTTCGTTGTTTTTGAGTCTTTTTTCCATTTCTTGTCCTTTCTGGGAGCTTTTTTCTACTTTATCCACCATGTCACTGATTCGATTCTCAGCTTCATCCAGCCTGCTTTGGATTCCTTCTACTGTGTTCTTCAATTCAGAAATGGTATTCTTCATATCCTCTTGTGTCTTCTTGATAGTTTCTATGTCCTTTCCCAGGTTGATATAGTTTGTTGTAAGATCCTGATAGTTTCTCTGCAGTGTCTCATTGTTATCTTTGAGCTTGCTGAGCTCATTGAGCTTCCTTAGGACCATTGTTTTGAATTCAGTATCTGGTGGTTCCCTTTCCTCTATTTCATTTAGCTCTCTCTGTGGGGATTCCTCTCTTCAGCTCATTTGGTGGGAACTTCTTTTTCTTCCCATTTTTGTGAGAGTCTGTTCGGTAATTTATTTATTTTTGCTTCTGCTTCAGTTGGGCTGTCTAGATTTCCTAACTTTGTGAATTAAACTCTATGGTATTAGGTAAGTCTTTTATTCATTCATTCATTCATTCATTTTTCTTTAGTTTTCTTTCTCAGCTTGGCTCTGATGATGTCAGTTGTTGACCCTATATGATCTTGGGTCGTTTGTTTGAGCTTTCCAGAAGTCTATTGTCTGTGTCTGACTCCTGCTTTGGGCAGCTCTGTGACCCCTTCAGTCAGGGGTCCACTATTTCTGTGGATCACTTTGCACTCTCACGCTGGCTCCTTGAGCGCGCTCTGAGGCCCAATAGGATCTCCAGCCCGTCTGGGCACTTATTCGCCCAACCTCAGGCACTTGTGTTGGTGCCCGCGCCCAGTGGGCACCCCGGGACCGGTCAGTTTAGGGTCTTCTATTGTGTGCTTTCTCTTCTTCTGACTCTTCGGGAGCATCGCCTGCCCTTGCCAAATGGAGACTACGGAAATGGGAAGAAGTCAGCTCCCTGACTCTCCGGTTAATCCTGTCTCCAGTCTCTCCTCCAGGGACTCTGGGCAGCTCTGTGACCCCTTCGACCCGGGATCCACTATTTTTGAGGATAGCTTTGCACTCTTGGGCCCACGCGGGTTGGTTTACGCCTGCCCTCGCCCATCTGCGCACTCCCTCGCAGGCCCCGTCGGCGCGAGTGTGCGCCCCTGCACTGGGTGGTTTTGGGCTGTCTGTTGTGTGCTTTTCAGATTTTGGCTCTTTGGGGGTGTGGTCTGTTCCTTCACAATGGAGACTACGAAAGAAGAAGGAGTCCAGACTCCTCGTTTCCTCCTCCCATTCTTTCCCCAACACCTCTGTCTTCGGTCTCTCCTCAGGGGTCTCTGAGCAGTTCTGTTACCCCTTCTGCCAGGCATCCACTATTTCTGCGGACCGCGTTGTAATTGTGGGCCATCTGGCTCGTCCGTCCGTGCCGCCCTCCTTCTGCTTCTTTGCGGGTACTTCCTCCTAGTTCAAAATGGAAACTACCTAATGGGGAGGGAATTGGGACTCCCCTGTTCCTCCTCCCGTTTTTTCCCCTGCGCCTCCGTCTCTAGTCTCTCCCCAAGGCTCTCTATGCAGCTGTGTGAACCCTTAGGCCAGGGATCCTCTATTTCTTCCAGCTCATCTGCACTTAGCCCCCCAGCTCAAACGCGCACAAGCTGTGTGCAGAGCACACAAAAGGGAGGTTAATTTGTTCCCTTATGCCTGAGCCAGATGGTAGCTGCAGAGTGGGAGGTGAGTTATCAGCTGGGCTCCGCCAGCCACCATCTCAGTTCTCTTCACAGAGTTTTCCTCACCAATCTTTTCCCAGGCACCAGCCCACTGTGCTGCCGTCTCTACCCAGAGATCAAGGAGGGTGGCTGCCACAGCAAATTTCTGTCTTGGCCCTTTAAATGTCTCTTTGCATCCCCAGCCGCCTTTCTCTGGCAGAGAGCCCCCCTGAGCTTTTCGGGGTTGTGTTTTGTCTGTTTGTTTTCCTGGTTTTAGCTCCCGTAGTCTATGGGTCCCTGCTTATGGTTCAGGCCCTGTTCTTCTCAGGGGGCTCCAACTGGCCGTTTCAATGTCCCTCTGGTGCTGGTGCCTGAGGGTGCCCAGCCCACCCTCTCGAGCCTCCACCGCACTTCTCACCCATTGGGATGTGTGAGAGTCAAATCCACTCTCCGGGGCTCCAAGGCTACTCTCCCTCTATTGTTCTGTTGTTTTCCAGGTGATTTCTCCACTATTTAGTCTCAATTCCTGTTTGGTCTTGGGAGGAGGTCAGGGTGAGTCCCATTCACTCCTCCGCCATCTTCCTCTTCTCTCTGATTTCTTCTTTTGTCTCATTATTGACCCCTTCATTGTTTAATAGCATGCTGTTCTGTCTCCATGAGTTTGAATGTTTTTGAGTTTTTTCCTGGAGGTTGGTTTCTAGTTTCAAGACCTTGTGGTCCAAGAAAATGCTCGTTATATGATTTAGTTTTCTTGCGTTTGTTGAGGCTTGTTTTGTGGTCTGTCTTTGAAAATATTCCATGTGCATTTGGAATGAATGTGTATTTTGCTTCTTTGGGATGAAAGGTTCTATGTATATCAGTTGATTTAATGCGCCATTCAGTTCCATAATATCCTTGTTGATGATCTGTTTGGAAGACCTATCCATTGTTGACAGTGCCATGTTAAAATCCCCTAGTGTCAGTACATTGCTATCTATATTTCTCTTGATATTCTCGAAGATTTTCCTTATATATTTGGGTGCTCCTATGTTGGGAAGGTAGGATTTTTGATGTGCATTAATAAGAAAGTGGAGGGGAAGGTGTTGTAGCAGTCTCAGTTAAGGTCTCTGTTCATTAGATTTTTGTTTTAATATGGACAAAGCCTGAAGTAGGGTGTAAGCAGAAGGAAAGAAAAAGAAGCAGGTCCCTCTGGTTTGGGTGATAAGTTTGTCTAGTTTGAGGGAGTGGTTCTGGGAGAGGTTGGTGCTGTTAATGGAAATGGTAACAGTTGACATGCTGGTGTCAGCAGAAATTTACAGCAGGTAGAAAGCAGAGATTTCTTTCTGGGTGGGGAATGAGGTAGGAGTTGATAGTTCTGAGATGCTACTGCAGCAGATAAGCAGCAAAGGAAATGTCAGTATTTAAGGAGAGAAGATGTGTGGAAGTGAGGAGGAAGGAGAGGAATGCAGCTGGGGAGAGTGTAGAGACATTCAACATGCTATCAGAAAGCTGGCATGGTCCCATGGGGAGGTCACAGTATGTTAATATTACTGAGAAACTGAGTGACAGAGGACAATGCATATCTTTGTTTCTTGATGAGGGAGAATGGTCTTTAAGAAAACCTTTAACTGAGTGATTGAAGCCAGATTGTCATGAACTGTTAAGCATTTAATGGCTATACATAGCCATTCCGATGAAAATAATGATAGATAATAGAAGCATCGGAGATCATGGTATGAGACACAAAGGTTTGTTCAGATGTCTACTGTGGCAAACAAGGTGCAGAATCTCTCATACCAAGGAGACTGTGGGCTCAAAACATTCTGGGGAGATGAGGAAGCACAGGAACTGGCGGAGTTTGGAAGAAGTCAGAGTCATGAGGCTTGCTCACTTTCACCCTTATGGCCTTTTTTATGTTTAATTAAATTATTTCACTGTTACTTCTGTATGGTGATTTCTTGCAGTTTCATTACTTTAACCTGTTGCTCTTCTAAGCATTTGCTTTTGTGGGTGGTTAAGGGCACACTCTGCCAAGTAGGTGGTGTTATCCTTTCCATACAGCAGGCTGTCTGCCAAGCATGGTGTAAAGTTTATGCCTTTCTGTGTCCTTGAAACAGGAGTGAATTTGTTAGTGGGTACCGAAAGTGGCCTGATGCTGCTGGACAGAAGTGGCCAAGGGAAGGTATATCCTCTGATCAACCGAAGACGATTTCAGCAAATGGATGTCCTTGAAGGCTTGAATGTCTTAGTGACTATATCTGGTAGGTATTGTTTGGTAAAGCAGGATTATAGTACCGTTTGAAACATAGTACTTCCCAGCACTAAGATTCATTTAGCTCATTTTCTGAAGTAATGTCTAAATGAGACCGTAGGGTAATTTTATGATAATGTGGTAGGAAAATTTACTCAGAGGGGACCCAAATGTGCAACTTAACCTGGGCCTCCTCTTAAGAGCTGTCTTAAAAGGCACAGGAGCATTCGTTTTGTAATTGACATCTCCCAAATGACCCATACACTGTTCTCTGTTGGTTGCTGGGTTTAATTTGGCTCATCCAGTTCATAGGTTTGGGTTCACTTCCTCCATGGTATTCTTTCATGCAAAAGAAGCTATTCCTTGCCGTGATAGTAAATGTAATGTATTTTTTCTTACATCAATTAACACTTTAAGTTTCTTTTCAGAAAGCACTTTTTAAGTAAGATACAATAAATGGTCATTATTCAGAAAGAAACTACTGTAGAAAAGCAGTAAGAGAAATAAAAAGGGAAGATAACATGTATTGATTTCTCAGTTTTTGACTCGCAATCTTTTACACTTATGTACACTCAAAATACCCACTTACAAAGGGAAAAAAACCTGTGTAAAAAATGTTTATGAACTATTTCAAACATCCAGAGAAGAATAATGAGAAAATATGACACCCATGTACTGACGAACTGGTTTTAGTAGATGTTAAAACACTGTTGTACACAGTTAGTCCCTTCCACTCACCCATGGAAACCACTGTCCTCAAGTTAGAGCTGGTGTTACTGATCTAAACCATGTAGCCTGCTCTTCCAGTGTCATTAAACATTCTTTCATTATATTCATTTTACATGGCTACCAAGTATTTCTTTGCACAGATATGTTACTATTTACTTATCTTCTGCTCTAAGTCTTTTGGTTTATCTTTTCCCCCTTTTATGTAAACATTGTTTACAAACATTTTTGTAGCTTACTTAACTTTGGCCATAGATATCCATTTTTCATAGATCATAATTTCCTATTAATTTGTATTAGTGCTGGGAATCAAGAGTATATAAAATTATAAGACTTTAAATGGGTCTTCTAATAACCAGTAGTGATTTTAATTTAGTTACCTACTAACTCAAGCTTGTTATATTTGTTTATATGTAACAAGTTTCTTGCAGTTACTTTAGTTTTCAAGTAAAGGTGTTGAAATACAAAAGTTTCACCGTCACACTTAAGTGAGAAAACAACCATTTTAAACTTGAGTGTTGATGGGGGTGGAAAAATAGAAAAATAGAAATAGAAAAATAACTCTGCATCTAAAATAACTCTGAAATAAAAAAATAACTCTGCAACTAAAAATGATCTCAACTTCATTCTTGACTAAGTGAACATGATGATTCATGGGGATTGATAAACAGTTGATACCAGTGATAATTTTTTTGGTCTAATTTTTTAAATTTTTCTTTAGTAGCTTTTAATAGCTTTTAAAGTCATAAAAGTAATACATATCTTCTGTAGGAAGCTTCCAAAATAGAAAAATTTAGGAAGAATAAATGTAACCCTATCTTGGGAATAACTTTTACTAACATTTTATTGTATTTTCTTCTCTTTTCTATAAATATATCTCACAACATGGGAATAAAACCCTGTGCATAAAATGATGTGGTCTTTGTTTCACTTAACATGTTAACTATTTTCCACATTTAGTATTTTCCCAAATTCTTAAAACTTAGAAAGAAGTATAAGGCATAGTATAAAAAGTGTACAGCTCAATAAATTGTCACAATTAGAATTCATCCATGTGGCCCCCACCCTGGTAAAGAAACAATCTGAGCACCCCAGAAGCTCCCTCATGCTACCTGCCAGCCACAGACAGCCCTCTTTTCCCCCACAGGGAAGCATGGCCCTGACTTTAACACCTTAGATTGGTTTTGCCTTCATTGAACTAAAGTCATATAAACAGTAAAATGATAGGTATTCCTTTGTGTCTGGCTACTTTTTTTTTAAGTAGTTTTTAGGTTTACAGAAAAATTGAGCAAAAAGTGTAGACAATTCCCATACTATTCCCCAGCCACTCCCAGTTTCTCCTATTATCTTGCATTGACTTAGTACATTTGTTACAATTGATGAATCAATTATTAACTAATGTCCATAGTTTACATTAGGGTTCACTCTTGGTGTACATTTTGTGGATTCTGACAAATACATAATTATCCACCATTACAGTATCAAACAGACTTCAGAGCCCCTAGAAACAACTGATCTTTTTTACTATCTCTATATTGCCTTTTCCTCACTATTATAGAGGGAATCATACAGTATGTAGCCTTTTCAGACTGTGTTTGATTTCCAATTTCCAATTGCTTTTACAAGTATATAGGAAATCCATTGACTTTTATGTATTAACATAATATTTTGCAACCTTGTTATGATCACTGTTAGTTCTAGGAAGTTTTTGCTAATTGTTTGACACTTTCTACCTAGACAGTCATATCTTCTGCAAACAAAGGTAGTTTTATTTCTTTCTTCCCAGTCTGTAAACCTTTTATTTCCTTTTCTTGTCTTATTGCAATAGAAGACATTCAGTGTGATGTTAATAGGAGTGGTGAGAGGGGACATCCTTCCCTTCCTTTCCTGATCTTAAGGGGAAAGTATCTGGTTTCTCACCATTAGGTATGATGTTAGCTGTAAGTTTTAGGTAGATGTTCTTCATCAAATTGCAGCAGTTCCCCGTTATTTCTATTTGCCTGAGGTTTTTTTTCTTTTATCATGAGATGAGTGTTAGGTTTTTGTCAAATGCTTTTTCTGCATCTATTCATATGGTCATAGACCTTTTTTTTTTTTTTTTTTTTTTTTTTTTGGTTTATAGTGGTATTTTTTTCCTCTTTATTCTTACGTACAACCACATCACAATTTATTCACTCATTCTGCTATTGATAAACATTCATCATTCATGTTATTTTCTATTTTGGACTGTTATGAACATTGCTGCTCTGAACATTCCTGCTCAAGTATTTAGGGGACCATATACACACTTGTATATTGGGAGAGAAATTACTGCATCATAGCAGGGTATACATTTTGTATATCCTAGTTTAGTGGATAATACCAACCTTTTCAAAGTGATTCTAACAGTTTATGACACTAATTTCTGAAATTTCTAGTTATTCCACATGTTTCCTGCTTTCAGTATTTTTGCTCTTTTTAATTCTAGACACTGAGAGGTATATGAAATTGTATTTCATTATGGTTTTAATATACATTTATGACTGACTATTGAAAGCAAATATCTCTTTATGTATCTGTGAGATAACTTTTTTTGCTTATTCTAGTTGCTTACCCAGTTTTTTTGTTGGGTTATCTTCTAATTGATTTATAAGAGATCTTTACAGATTCTAGATGTGAGTCCTTTTTCAGCTTTGTAAGTTACACACATCTCCAATTAATGGCTCGCCTTTTGCTGGATTCAGGTCTCACTTGGGTGATTTATTTAACCCTTGTGCTATCAAATGGTAAATAACAGCTCTGTTGGAAGGTTTTGAGAATCAGATGACATAATACATGTAAAATTATCTTACAGGCTCTCTTGATTGTATTGTTGTGAAGGTATTTGTATTACTTTGGTTTATTGATACTGTTCGTCCACATAAGTGCGAGTTCTTTATTCTTTTAAAATCTCTCCTTTTAGTCCTGGCTGGTGTGGCTATGGATTGAGTGCCAGCCTGTGAGCCGAAAGGTTGCTGGTTCAATTCCCAGTCAGGGCCCATACCTGGGTTGTGGGCCGGGTCCCCAGATGGGGGCGTGCAAGAGACAACTGACCAATCCATGTATCTCTTGCACATTGATGTTTCTTTCCCTTTCTCCCTCCCTTCCCCTCTGTCAATAAATAAATAAATACTTTTTTAAAATCTCCCCTTATAGCTCATGATAATTCTTGAGTTTCATAAGTCCATCCAAATAGCTTGAATTTGGTTTCTAGTAAAATTGATACAAAATGGTTCCCTTTGGCTGTGATATTTATTGTTTATTGAGGTTTCTTTTGGTTACTGTGCTTATTGATGATGATAACTACTTTTGAATATATGTGTAAAATATTTGTATTTGTTTTGCTAGGCAAAAAGGATAAGTTACGTGTCTACTATTTGTCCTGGTTAAGAAACAAAATCCTTCACAATGATCCAGAAGTTGAGAAGAAGCAGGGGTGGACAACTGTCGGGGATTTGGAAGGATGTGTACACTATAAAGTTGGTGAGTTCCAGGACAGTCATAAGGGTTTTGTTCTTCCAGGATTTAATTAGTTCATTTGAAATTCTCCTGTTCTTTGAACAGATATCTCACTCTGCCCTCTGTCTGTCTCATCCATGCAGCTCATCTTGTGAGAGAGTCTTTTCACCCTTTCTCTTTGACAGTTCACAATCTTCTCTGTAAGATGTGGTTCCAAGTAAACTTTTAAGAAAGCCTTGCCAAAGGAAAGCCAGTCTATTTGGAGTTCCCCTTTGTGCTTCAGGCTTATTCTCCATTTAAAAGACTGAGGACTAAGGAGTCCTTGGCAGTCTGATAGAATGTATGAGATTTGCCCCAGGAGCTATCATTGTTATTTTGGATTAAGAGCATTGTGCAAAGCTACTCTGCTCTTAGCCAGTAAGTGAATCTAGTTGGCCACTCAGCATCACATGGCAACTGTGTTTTTTTCTTTGTGGAATGCATTCTGTGGTTCTCATGAAATCATATCTCACAAGAATGAAACAAAAGTATGTGTATAAAAATAAAATATCAGTACAAAGTTTGAAAATAATGGAGCTTAGTCAAATTAAAGTTTTATGGGAGAGGTGATATACTCTAACATATCATTTGAAGTGGGAAGTTGAGATCACCAAATGGTCTATAAGACTTACTAATGTAAGGGATCTAGTGAACATGATTTCTGCTTATATGATTTTTTTTCTGTATTTATGAAAATGTATACTATAGTTCTCTGCTCTCAGGGATGTTACAGCTCTTGATACTATTTTCTCATTTAAGTAGTCTGTCCACAACCCTCAGTTCATTGGTTAATAATGATTATAGGAGCCACCCCACTATTAGAATGATTCTAAGTGATATCAAAAAATAATACTGTCACCTTGGTATAGATTTTGGGATTAGAATTTTCTTTGTTATGTGTATATGAAACAGTTTTACTTGTTGAGGTAGAACTGAAATCATCCAAGGTTAAATTTAATGAAAAAGCTCATAAAGAGCTGAAATGTTATGAATAGATTATCCTACAGAGGGAGCTAGAGGCAGATGTATTAGAGGGAAAGTGGTTTTTCATAAAAAAAAGAAAAACAACCACCCTCAGTCTTCTCATTCCTGCATAATGAATCACAACATTTTCTGGAGATAATGACTGTGTGATACCATTCATTTGTTATTTTTATACATTTAACAAGTTGTATTCATTTTATCAAGACCTGTGCTGTACTGTGTAAGCAGGTGTGCTATTTAAATTTATATTTAAATTAATTAACATGAAATAAACCTCAAAATTTATTTTTTCATTGGCATTAGTACATTTCAAGGACCTGATAGCCACATGTAACTAGTCACTGTCAAGTTAAACAATACAAGTATAAAGCTTTTCCAAAGTCACAGAAAATCCAATTAAATAGCACTAGTTCGGACAACCTTTTGTAATCTTTTGTGTCTTAATATTAATGTCAGAACTATTTGGAAGTGACAGTATATGGACTTTAACAAGGAGAGGTATCAAGTTAACAAGTAGTCTCATATACAAAGGAAGAGTCAAGTCATAGTGTGAGTTTAGATAACTTGTAAAGAAACTGGAGGGTCTGATCAGAAGTCACATGTGCTCAGGGCCCCTCAGCGTGTCTGTTTTTAAGCAGAATTACCTGGCTGTGAGAGACCTAAAACAGCTGTGTAAAGGAGGAATTTGTGTGCACACACATGTGTCAGTGTGTGTACACTGCGGTATGTGTGTTATGTGGGTGCACTGCAGTGTACCTGTGTGGGGGGATGTGTGAACGTGTATGTTTGTGCTCATTGTGGGTATCATTGTGAGTGCATATGTGTGGATGTGTGCATGTGTGTATACATATATTTTTACAAGTTGAAGATTTTCTTTTTTCCAAATGTTTTAAAGATTTTATTTATTTTTAGAGCAAGGGGAAGGGAGGGAGAAAGAGACGGAGAGAAACATCAATGTGTGGATGCCTCTCACATGCCCCCGACTGGGGACCTGGCCCGCAATTTAGGCATGTGCCCTGACTAGGAATTGAACCCACAACTCTGGTTTGCAGGCTGGCACTCAATCCACTGAGCCATACCAGCCAGGGATGGAGATTTTCTTTACTACTATTCTTTTGGTATACAGCTTTTGGAACGATCCTAGCAATTATCACCTCTATAGCTCAAGAAGTGATTTGAAGTGACACTTGTTCTTATACACAGAAATAGATAGAATTCACACTCGGTCAATGAATATTTTGGTATAGCCTTCTATGTTCCTCAGTCTGTAAGCTCCATGTAGGACTCAGAAGAGGCCATGGGAGTGATCTACCTCTTTATGTGATTCAGAAGCTTCTTGACTGATGAGTCTCAGTTATTCTTTTCAAGTAACACTGAGCCCATGAGACTTTAGGGTGGTATGGCTGGCATTGCTCTTGATAGTTAAATACTTGCGACATAAGATTAGGAACATTAGTGAAAGTACTCAGTGGTGGTAACCAGAGTATTGGAATTGAGTCCAACACAGCATCAAGAACTATAGGAACAGGAGGAATTACACATTAAAGAACTTGAAAAGGAAATTGTAAAGCTTGATCTCGATCAACATTTTTGACTTGTTGGTTTGGATGAACTGGAAGTCGTTTTTATAAAGTTTGAAAGACAACCAAAAGAATTTAGAGTTCCATGTTGATACTGACTTGTTTCTCTCATTTGTTTTTTCAGTAAAATATGAAAGAATCAAATTTCTCGTAATTGCCTTGAAGAATTCTGTGGAAGTTTATGCATGGGCACCCAAGCCATATCACAAATTTATGGCCTTTAAGGTAACAACATCAGGTGCACTTAAAAGTAGCATTATCCATGCACACGTGACCAGGGAATAATTTTAAAGGCTCTGAACAGTTAAAACTGATCATTTAAAAGTTGCCTACTAATAGAGTGCTTAACTTTTCATAAGAGTGGCCATTTCTAATGTCATAGCCTAGCTATCTGCTTTCAAGTCCTCAGAGTGTGAGATGGAGAGGGCTGAATGTTGTGTAGATGCTGTGATCAATGTGCCAATATGTTAACAACGGAAAAGACAAAATAACACCACCTCCATTTAAAAAACTGACCCTGACCTTCCACCTAAAGTCATGGATATACATGTATAAATCTTTAGATAACAAAAAAGTATCCAACAATTGACAGCTTTAAGGTATATATTCAAGAGTACTAATCAAATTAATTAATTTAAAGTATATATTCAGTAAAGTACTAATTAAAAATTAAATTACAAAAAGTCTGAAGGACAAGGAATGAGTAGCATTACAACTTAAATAGAAAAGGAGATTAAAATATGTATAATGTACTGCTTTCATTTAAAGAAAATTGTAGAAAAATATTAACATTTACTTTATATGGATATTTTTATTTATAGTTAATATTTATATTTTTATATTTATAAATTATAGTATTTATAAATATATTTATATTTGTACTAAATACCTATGTATGAAATTTTTAATTAAAATGATATTAATGTGACATTAGATCCTATAAATAACTTAATAACATAATTTCTAATATTAGGCACTAAACCTTGAGCATAGTCCCTGGGACTGTTTAGTGGAGGGTAAGAAATTAAGATGTTTTCATCCATAATGATTCTATTTACTTATTTTTAAAAATATTTTTGGTATATTTTATTCAGGATAAGCTTTAATTATTTGGAAAATTGACATATTTAGATTGCTTATTGCTTAATTCCCAGTTAGGCAGGCTAAATGGGATTGTCACATTTGCTTCAAAAATAAATCTATGTATTATTGAATGAAAGTAATTCATTATAAATTACAGTGATCTTCTGATATCTGTTCTTAATAAATTCTTTATTTTACAGATACTGTACTAGTTGCTATTAATACCTTATTTCAATCTGTGTTGTGAGCTGTAGGTACTGATATTAATGAAGAACTAAGGCCATCCCGGCCTTTATATTGCAGCCCTTTGTCACTATACCATTCTAGTTGGAATGAAAGTAGAAGTCTAATAATGTCAAATAGAAGTCAAATAGTTACTGGGATAATTATGCCGATAAGATTCTCAGTGACTCCTACAACTCCTCCTCTTTGTGCATTGTCTGCCTCTGAAGAGTTGAATAGCATGCTTTAGAAAGTCCTGATTATTTCATCTTCATGTTTTTCTCACTAAGACATACAACAGAATAGTAAGTGACAGAGCAGAATTCTTGGGATACGTAGGGAGAATTTGGAACATGGCTTCTGGAAGAAGTGTTTTCTAAGTTCTTGTTAACAAACAAAAGCATGATAAATTAAAAACATACTTTTAAAGTATTGTTACCTTTGGTTGTAACTTGGGCTTGGCTTCTCTAGTTTGACCTATTAGAAATAAGGTCTACTTCATCTTACTGCTTCCCTCTTGATTACTTGTTTGTACTTGTTTGTAGTCGTTTGGAGAATTGGTACATAAGCCATTACTGGTGGATCTCACTGTGGAGGAAGGCCAGAGGTTGAAAGTGATCTATGGATCCTGTACTGGGTTCCATGCTGTTGATGTGGATTCAGGATCAGTCTATGACATTTATCTACCAACACACGTAAGAAAGAACCCACACTCTATGGTTGGTTGACTGGCTTCATTTTGTTTTGACTTTTTCTTTACTCTGCTTAGTGAACTAACACAAGCAGGGATTCCTTACCTCCCCTTGTGTGGGGGTGAGTATTTAAGTGCCACGCCATTGTCATAGCTCCATGCTCTGAGACAAGTGGAAATGGTCTCTCCTGGCTCCTCTGAAGCCCTCCTGAAACCTCTTAGCCCTGGCTTTGACTAACATGGGATGGATTGGGGCAGTTGCAAATAAGTCAGAAAATCCCTGGTTTGGGAGTGATTTGAGGAACGTAGTTTCTTAAATGGAACCTACAATCTTAATGTGTTCCAAGGACCTCAGAAAATGTGAACTCAGAGTATATGACCTGTAAAAGGTAGACTTTGGGATATAGATTGCATTTGATTTTCCAAAATGTTATCCAGTTGCTGTATTTATCTCTAGGAATATGAACTAGTGCATTCTCCGAGACAGTCTTGGTGAGAACTTTTGCAGGATAGAAATAGCCACAAACCTGCTTCCCTGTACTTTGTTCCTGTTCTCTAGATCCAGTGTAGCATCAAACCCCATGCAATCATCATCCTCCCCAACACAGATGGGATGGAGCTTCTGGTGTGCTATGAAGATGAAGGGGTTTATGTGAATACCTATGGAAGGATCACCAAGGATGTGGTCCTGCAGTGGGGAGAGATGCCAACATCTGTAGGTATGTATCACTCAGAGGAGAAGGCAGCATTTGTAAAAGTAGAGCTTTCTCTAAAACTGCATGTGTTTATCAACAGAGTAGTTGGTAATAGGTGGTGGAAAGTGAGATTGTAGACCATGGGACTATCTTAGAACAAAACTCAAGTAATTATTGAACACTTTTTAAGACTCTTGTTATTGACAATCCTTTATTTAATCCTTACGGCATTCAGGAAAAGTAGGACAGATGTTGTTGACTGATTGTGGCAAGTAAAGGGAGACAGAGAAAGGTATGTGATTTGCTTCTTGTAAGTGGCAGACCCACAACCAGAGACACAACCTCTTGTATCCTGAAATGCATTCATGAAGAAAGATGCAGAAATGATAGTGGATAGATGACATTTTCATGGCTTTAAGTTTATATCCTCAAACAATTTTGGTTTTGTTGCAGTTAAGTCATTGTCTCTGTCTAATTGTCATTTCTTCTTCCTGCCTCCTTTCATGACTGATTTGATGAAAATATGAGCAGTAAACTGTAAACTCATTGGGTCATTGCTCAAGATAAGGAAGAAGTGACTCAAGGAAATTAATAGATTCAACCATTGATTCAGATTACAGTTTCCCAGGATAGAACAAAAGTTTACAAAGGCAGAGTTCCTTAAAACAAATACTCTTAAATGCTAGATGTTGGGGGTGGGGGGGATTGGAGAGAGAGAATGTGTTAACAGCAGCATCTTTTCATGGCTGTTTCCTTATCTTTGACAATACGTGTTTTTCCCTCTCAAAAAGCATATATTCGATCCAATCAGACAATGGGCTGGGGAGAAAAGGCCATAGAAATCCGGTCGGTGGAAACTGGTCACCTGGATGGTGTGTTTATGCACAAAAGGGCTCAAAGACTGAAATTCTTGTGTGAACGCAATGACAAGGTAATGGTGTCCTTATAGATTGTTTTTAGTTACTACTGTCTTTTAGCAATGGTTTGTTTTGCATGGAGTTTGGTGAAGCTTCTCCTTGGGGTTTTGATAGATTCTGAAATAATTTCATCAAGGAACTTTGTAGTAGTGGATTTTTAGACCTGTTTATGGGGTTTGGGATAGTGTGTGTGTGTGTGTGTGTGTGTGTGTGTGTGCGTGTGTGCGCGCGCGCAAGGAACTTTCTAGTAGTGGATTTTTAGACCTGTTTATGGGGTTTGGGATAGTGTGTGTGTGTGTGTGTGTGTGTGTGTGTGTGTGTGTGTTTCCTATGAGGAGATAGAGACATATCTTTGCAGAAATTATCATATAGAGTGTTTTAAAAACCCCATTAGGTGACCTTCCTAGACTGTGTTTGGCTTAGGTATAGGGCAGTTCAAAGCAGCCAGGCTTAAATGGATGGGGTTCTTTTGTGATTAGAAGAAACCACCCATGCAGATTTGGGGAGGGTAGAAGGTCCCTCTCCCCTGGTGTGTTATCATAAAGATACCACTTGTTAGTCTGCCTTTTGATTAGTGCAGTAATTTCACAGTTTGCATGTCAGAAATGCCTAAGAGTATAAATCATTTTATACAGAAACACAAGTACCTCTTGTAGCTGAGACCCCAGGGCATCCAAGCCCCAGTATAACAACCTTTCTTTTTCAAACTGACCACATCTTTGTTTAATCCTTGTCCTACTCACTCTGCAGGGATTCCCTCCCAAAACCAGCTTTGGAGTGGAGTAGATAGATGACCATGGGTGTTGACTCATCCCTGCCTACTTTGGGAAGGACATCAGCAGGGGAGCTGGTCTTTGCCAAGCCCCACTTTCTATCCTGTTCATTTGGATAAAAGCATGCCTTATTCCCTGAGGCAGCCAATTACAACCTCTTAAGAGGCATCCTTAGAAATTTGCCTCTTAAGAGCATTTCCACCTCTTGCTTCATACGAAAATATAATGAATATCTTAGCAACAAGCCTGTAGGTTGACTTCTCAGATTACAGTGGAGAGCAGTAGATCACTTCGCAGCTGGCCCTCCTGCCCACCCAATTGCATACTCCACACAAAAGCCACATCACAACTGACCCACTTTCTCCTGCAATCCAGAAGGCCATTTATTAATGGAGTAACTTTTTTCTCTACGTAATATCTCCCAGATCTTTTACCTTGAAAATCCATACAACCTCAGACCTTATCCAGGATTTTACCAGCTTTTTGGCTTATATTTTCCAAGTGTATTTAATGTGGCCATGAATATAATATTTTTTGAACTTCTGATACTTAAATAATTTCATCTCTTATGATATCATATTCCCAAGAGTATATTAATAAAAGATACAAAATTACTTTATAGAGTCATGAAATAACTGATATGTTTTTAGCTTAATTTTTTAAAAGAGAAAAATTAGGCTGCTAAGGAGTCCTCCCCATTGGTCATTGAGTTTTCTTAACACATTTGTCTTTTAGAATATGTTTGCAGTAGAAGTAAAAGAAATAAACTAGTTTCAGAAACGTCATTTTTTCCTTTTGAAGTTCTCAAAATATGGCAACGTACAAGGAGTTATTTGACCAGTTAGCCTTCTTATAGTTGTAATAAAAATTGGCTACAGATGATCATTCCTTATGAATTAAAAAATTGATGTCATCCCAGATTTTCTTTTGAAAAGAACATTTTGGATTTCAGCTTCTGCATGTGAAGATGTAGAGATTGTTGGTGGCCTGGGGTTACCTGTCTGGAAACTGCAGGAAACTTTGCTTCTTCAGGCAGTGTTGTGTTTTCACAGTAAACCCCATCTTTTCTCTTGCTCTTGCAGGTGTTCTTTGCCTCTGTTCGGTCTGGTGGCAGCAGTCAGGTATATTTTATGACATTGGGCAGGACTTCTCTTCTGAGCTGGTAGAAGCATGGCAGTGAGGATCACTGGCCTCAGAGTCTTCCAGATCCTGAGTACTTGGAATTCCTGCAACTGGAGCTCAGAGCTGCACCGGGGCAGTCCAGGACAGCTGTGTTGCGCAGACAGCGCCCATGGGATTTTCTCCTTTCGTTCCTCTTCTTCCTACCAGTTTATCCCCAATCCTTTTTTTTTCTTTTTTTTTTTCTTGCTCAAAAATAAATCAAGGCTGCAATGCAGCTGGTGCTGTTCAGATTCTACCATCAGGTGCTATCAGTGTTTTGGATCAAGCATCAAACCAGAGAGCAAATGCCTTTCCTGCAGCTCCAGAATTCCTTGTCTTTGAGTGACTCTGTCATTTGGGTGTCTGAAGGTAGAGACCGTGAAAATGCTGTTGGTTTATTGCAAGTGGGCACAAGGGGGTGTAGAGTGGTGGTCTTAATGAGCAGTTTGCTGAAGTAAGAGCAGATTTAATATAGTAACATTAACAATGTATTTAATTGACATTTCTTTTTTGTAATGTGATAATATGTGGACAAAGAAGAAGGGGCAGGTTTAAGAAGTTAATATTTATAAAATGTGAAAGACACAGTTACTAGGATAACTTTTTTGTGGGCGGGGCTTGGGAGGCAGGATAGGGTGGGTTATGGGTGTCCCATTTTATCTGGATTTTTTTTTTTCTTTTGGCTTCATCATGAACTCAGTCATTTTTCTGTGTACCAGATTTTGCCTAAATCATGAGTAGATAGTTCTTTAAAACGAAAAAAAAAGGAAAAAGAAAATGTGTGCATTTGTCTAATGGCCAGAATTTTGTTGTGTGACAGTATTAGCACTGCCTCAGTTAAGGTTTAATTTTTGCTTAAACCTAGAAGGGCGACAACAGTTTTACCACAGTCCGCACTTGGCGGAGGAAAATTTATTTTTCAACCACATACTATTTTTTTTTGCCTACCTCATTGTTTTTAATGCATTAAGAGGTGGTTTTGTTTATGTTTTTGGAGGAAAACATTAATGTTTAATTTAATCTTAATACCAAAACTATCAGGTTGAAGTTTGACTGTTATTTGTCACAGGTCTCAGTAGGCACATGAGAAATTGTCTCCGAAGATGGGAAATAACCATAGGGCTTCATCATGCTGACTGATGCAATCTTCTTTCTAAGTAGAGAGAGCAGAAAGCATTGTTTTCATATATTAACCTTAGTGGTTGGTGGACCACTGTAGCCTACAACATAAGGGGTCTCATTGTTCTCAGTTCAGGGTTTTGTTAGCAGACAGGTGGTCATATCAGAATAGTCACACAAACTGCTCATTTTTCAGGAACCTTTCCAGGGGGGTGAGGGTATTTCCCTTTTCTAAAAATGCAATGCACTAAAACTATTTTAAGAATGTAGTTAATACTGCTTATTTGTAAGACATCTTCTCCCTTTGTTTTAGGTGTAATATCAAGGCCCTGGATTTTCTCATTCTTTCACTTGTTCTCTTGTTTTCTTTCTGTTTCTTAAACCAACTTCATGAATATGTTCATGACATTGTAATAAATACCTTGGGTGATAATTTGTTTCTTGGCTCCATGGTCACTCAGTTCCTCCAAGGGTAGCAGTCTCTTGGGAAAGGAACAAGCCTCAGCATCATAGTTCTGCCATCTTCCTTTTTCCTGTTGGGTTCTAAGTGGGAGGACTTTATGAGGGCTGCTTTGAACTCTGCACCAAACAGAAGTTTAGTGTTTCATAGGCTTAATCCTTCTTTGTGGTTAGTTTTCTATTATAACATGAAGATGGAGAACTTACCTCCCCAAAATATAAGTCATTTGCACCTATTTGCCAAGGCTGTGCCCAGCATTCTGATCTTATTTGGCATCCACTTTGACCACTGTTACCCTCTTTCTCCTGGCTTGGCATTTTTGCCAAAGGCTATTCTTTGAATTATGAAAATCTAGTAAAAAATAAATGCACTCACAAATGCAATAACAACAGCTGATTGTACATACTCATAAAGGCAAGATACACTTGAGAAAGCACTCCTTTCTTTTGGAAGGACAAGGCAATGGAAATGATTTGTCCATTTGTATGACTTTGGAGTAATGCTGATGTCCAAAGTAGAAAAAACTAGTTCTTTTCAACTAATTTGTTGTTAACATAGAGAAGAAGATTGAAGAATTAATCTCACCTTTGGAAGGGACTTTTGAGATAGACTAGGTTCCACCATCACAGGACTTGACTCAAAACCAAATCATTGTTGGAGATTTTCTATACATTTTGGCTTTTCAAGTAAGATACAATGTGCCACCATGAACATGTATATGCACCAAGAGAAGAAAGAAGTGGCTATCTGGGTCCATTATACCCCGTCCTCCATGGCTTTGGAGAGGTTAAATTTGGGCAGGTATCTTTGAGAAAATTCTAAACTTCTGATATCAGCATGGAAGAGATGTAAAAGGACAAGGCATCACAGATTTAATTTTCCACATACTTGAACCTCAATATTGATCATGCAAGGGGGTGTCATGCAGATAATGCAGATGGTGTTCCATTGGGATTACTGGCTGTTTAGAACTTGTCAAAAACTGGGTTCTCCCTGAGATGTGATGGGGTCTGAGCGCAAGGCAGAATAGTGCCTGTCCTACTTGCCCCAGTCACCCACCTGACACTCCCTTGGTGTTTGAGTCGAAGAGAATTGAATTCACTGGGGGGCTTCATTTCCTCAGATGGCCCATCCATTTGTCCTTGTGGGGTAGGTTGTCCTCCTTGACTGCGTTGTCACCTTCTTGGCCTCACCACCAAGTCAGCCAAACTGTATTGCTACAGTTTGAAGCAGGTGCCCAATTAGGTTTCTCCATAGAAGACTGTGAGCTGTTAAAATTTCATTCTCTGGAGAAGGGAAGATTTTGTTCCTTTAAAAAGGTAGTGACTTCACAAAAGTGTCAGGACAGCAAAATTACATAAAGGAAGCAGTATTACAGTGATAACCACTAAACATGGAATATTGAAAACGATTATAGCAGTGCTCTTCAAACAAAACACAAATATGTCTACGTTTAATCAAAGCTTTAATAACTAATACCTTTCTGTATTTAAATCAGAGTAACTTTGTATTCAGTGCAGTGTTTTTACTTTTTCCTCATGCCCATGTTATGGTGGAGAAAATGTTTACAAAAATGGTTTTGTTACACTAATGTGCATCACATATTTATGGTTTATTTTTAATTGACTTTTTTAATGGGTTATATAGGTTTTCCTCATAGTTGTAGTTCACTTGTGGTGATTCATATCCCTAATTTTGCCAACTATAAATTTGTTAAACAGAAATACAAATGACAGATTGCATTAAATTTACTAATCCTAGAACTGCAAAGCAGATTGGTGGCAAGTACACAGCCTTCTTTTTATTTTCAGTGCTAACTTGTTTTCTCTGTATTATGAAAATTACTGTTGTTCCTCCCCTTTTTTCATTAAATAAAGTAAAAATGGCACCTAGTATCTGTGGCATGAGTTTCAAATATATTCTGACCCTTCAGAATGTTTTCTTCCTGTCAGGATCTATATTTTATGCACACCACCTGCCCCAATGCCACCCCAGCTCCAGTGGGTGACTTCCATATCCTGCCATCTCCCATAGCAGCAATTGCCTAAGGGATCACCAGACATGGGCCATGAAAGTGACAAACATTTGTTCAAAGATCTTAGAATGAAATAGCTCTCAATCACCATGTTTTTAAAGCCAAAAGGGAATAAAGCTGATCCTTGAAGAAATATGGTTTTATTTTTGCAAGTCCTAATTGGATTAAAAAGTAAAATAGCATTTTGTCTGTACCTAATAGAGCTATCAAAGTAGCCCATTCTCAAAATGGTGCATACATAGTAACTGAAATCTCATAACCAGAGCTCCTTTCAGTGCAGGGTCACTGGCTGAGCCCTTCGGTTGTGCCCATCAATTCCCTCTTTGGTCTGGCAGGAATGATTCCCATGGACAGATCTGGGGCCACATCCTTGAGATCAGAACCTTGCCCAAGCCTCTGGGGTTACAGAGAGGTGGCCATGCTATGTTATCTACTAAATATGTTCATAAACTAGCTCCTCCTTGCTTCACCCTAGATACGTTATTTCTCTCAGGTGAAAATAAAACTGTAAATATCTAAGCCTTCAATTAAGTACAGTTTTTCCTTTTCTACTAGATGTTTGTTCAAGCTGGTGGATACTTAGGGATGAAAACCTGGTGGAGTGCTTGTTATGGAACCACATTCTGGCTGTTCCAACTTTACCCCTGCATTGGCTGAGAGGTCACTTAAGGGAAGTAACCAGGACATTTAGCCTCCATAACTGACAACAGCTCTATGTTTTGGTGCCGCATTCTAGGATGCAGTAAAATTGCTTTCTCTGTTTGGTATGAGGCCAGTGTCTCCCATACAGGCCTTAGGCCTCTCAGGTCCCTGCCACCGCTGCAACTTGGCTTGCTGTCATAATAGTGAAGCTTCTTGATTCCCAAGTCCTGTCTTCTAGTTTGCTTAGTTGTAGGAAATTTGAGTTTGATGTTCCCACTCAAAATGATATAAAATTCCCTTTGGATGTAAGTCAAAACTCTGGCGGCATGCTCAACAGAAGTTCTGTGGAGGGATGTGGAGGGCAAGCCTGCTCCTTCCTTAGAGTAGTGTGGAAGTTGGACATAACTCCAAACCTTAGAAACCAATGTTAGACAACATTTTTTACAATAAATGATATTAAATACTTCCTTAATTCCTTTTAACAATTTTGAGATGTAATTCACATACTATACAATTCATCTGTTTAGAGTTTAGTGGCCTTTATTCAGAGTTGTACATATGACACCACCACAGATCAATTTTGTAAACTTTTTTATTACCCCAAGAAGATACCCCACACCTCTTTTCTGTTATCCCCTCATCCCCCTACCTCCCTATCCTACTAAACTTTAAGCAGCTACTAAGGTGCTTTTTCTCAATGCAGATTTGCCTCTGGAAGTTTCACATAAATGGAGTCATACAACATATATCCTTTTTGACTAGCTGTGTTGATTTCACAGTGTTTTTGAGGTTCTTCATGCTGTAGGGTGGATTTGTACTTAATTTCTTTTTGTTGGCACCCTTGGTTCTTACCCTTAGTAATGGAGGCCTTCCTTCAGCTTTAGCACCAACCACCCCACTGACAGCTGGGTACCAGCATCAGGTCAAAACTGTAGAGTTAATCTTTCACTGAAACAAGCAACCCCAGACATGGATTCCTGCCGAGATGTGTTTTAAATTTGAGCTCTTAGAGACTCAATGATTCCCCTCCTCCCAAGAGACCTGGATGCTAAACACAATGCTTATCATAGGCCAGGTACAGGGTTGTCAGGTTTTGAAATAGAGACTGTCCTGGAAGCTCACCTGCTGTGTCTGCAAGACACTGGTCCTGCTGCCCACAGAGAGCAAGCCTCCAGCCCCTGGGGAAGCTGGGGAGTGGTGGGCATCCTCCCTGGTGTTCAAGGCCTGGATCATGGTACTCAGTTTGTCCCTCTAACTTAAATTGTGCTCACCCCCGTGAAAACTGGCCCTGATGAGCTAGAACCCTTTTTTATCCTGAGCAAGTAAATAACCACAGGTGTCACATTTCAAAAGGGCCTTATCCTGTCAGTACCTCTGTATTTTATTGGCATCAGGGACATTTCTCAGCGCTGCCTTCCGGAAGGCCACCTTCTTCTGTAGGGCACGTTGAGTAAGTGTGGGCACTAGTAAACTTCTGGGAACTTGGTTTCATTTTGGTCACTCTAACAAGTTGAGCAACCCCTGGGTGCTGAGCACTCGAGGTATGGTGTTCCTGAGAGGAAATGCAGGGAAGTCGTCTAAAGGGGCACTTTTAAAGATGATGCTATTTCTGTAGGTAGGTAGCTAATTATTAATGAGAAAGGTAAGTAAAGGAATTAAACATTGAGCTTAATAAATTGGGGAACATAAGCTTGTTTGCTTCACCAGGAAGCTACAGCTTCACACCCCAGGGGATCATAACATTTCTCCACCAAGGAGATTAACACTCCTTCCCCTGTCTGGTACCAGATTGCAGAGGTGGGGAAGAGAGACACATGCACAGTAGAAGTCAAAATGGTGCAGGGGAGGTGCTTGACCAAAGAGACCTGTCAATCTAGCCTGGTTGGAACGTGGACCCATTCAAAAAGCCCACAAAAGCTTGGGAAGTTGATTCGTTCTTTTGAAAAAGCATCTGGTTCATTCCAAACCCAAATTTAAAAACCTCAGGAGAACAAAGAAGCATGCTTGCAATCTTTGTCTCTCTCTCCCTCCCTCCCCTACCTGGTAAAGCACTCACCCCATGCATTTGCGTGCTCTCTCTTACCTTGGAGCATGCAACCACGTGGGTCTAGCAGCTACTAGGACCTACAGCAGACTGTGTTTGCTCAAAAGACTAAGTTTAATATGAAGTAGGAACTCTGGACACTTGGCTTTTGTTTTGGTCTTGCCGAGGACATGGCAGGACTTTTTCCATGGTGAGATAGAGGGACATGGGGCATTGGAAACCTAGGGAGCAGCTTGTTTCCACCAGAATCAATCTTGCCACACCACAATTTCGTATGTGTGGATTCAGGGAATGTTTTCCTTACAATCCAGTGGAAGAACCTGATTTCCACTAACAACAGTGCTTAGTGTATTCTAGATGTTAAAACACAGATTTCATTTATGGTGCATATGGAAAAGACTGATACTCTTTAGCTAAAACAGCAATGTGGCGGCCAACGAGCTCTCATGTGAGTTTGTACTGTATGGATAAAAGTGAAGTGAGAGAGATGATGCCCCTGCTTGGTTAGGTTGTACTTGGCTGGATTCACTCATGGGATCTAGACCAAATGCAGCTTTGGCACAGTATAGGGGCCCTCTAGGGAAGGGCTCCAACCTAGTTCCCATAAAGACTGGTTTAAAGAAAAGGTAACAAAATTAATTAGAATTATGTAAATTAAGGATTGTTCATTCTAGTCTGGGTTGCTAATGGTGAAGGTGGAAAATACTTTGTGCATGTTTGCTGTGCACCAGGCACATAGTAAGTGTTTTTACACATGTCCTCTCAGACTGCAGGAGAGATTTGGAGTACTCGTTCATTTGAATATATTTGGAGAGAGAACAAAGGAAGGAGGGGTTGCTCAGCAAGATGCCAAATCGTAGAGCCAGGAACAGTGGATGGAATCCACAGGGAGACAGCATTTGTCTGCATTATGAAAGGCACAGTCATAATTGTGCAAGAGGATAAAATGGGCAACTTGGCTGGCCACATCTATGCCCTTGAAGCTGTCTGTTCAGATGTGGAGGAGGTCCCTTGAGGTGTATTGGGACTAGACATATACAAAGCTGGTAAACACTTCAAGAGCCATTAGAGAACATTTTTGAATCCATGTACAAATGGCTTTGGAATTCCTTGAACACATGAATGGATTTTCAAGTAAACAAGTATCTAGGCAGCAATCTGAAGAGTTCCTCTACCTGCAGCAGAAATGGGATAGGCAATGGCAGAGGTGGAAACTTTCTTCAGGACATATTTACTACCTCTTTCCCTGAACTCCATAGCCACCAAGTTCAGAACCCTGCAGACTCGACCCCCTCAGGAAATGGTCAGGTCCTGCTGGATCTGAGAGCAGGCCAAGTGGTTCCATTTGGTCTTGGAGGGCTTTGCACATTTAGTCCTCTAGGGAGCAAAAGAGAAATGATTGCATATTCCCAGACCCAAGTCTGTCCCAGGTTTTCAGCCTTGTTGAAGCAGTGGAATGTCAGTATATAAAGCAGAGAAAAAAGACACTAGTGTGGATTTTAGGTGCAAATTTATAACGTTCTTTAAAAATGAAATAATAACCTATACTGCTTTACTATTGGGGTTTATGGATAACAGCAGTTGATGTCTGTATCAAATTTATTTTTCTTTTTAGTTCTCTAACAAGATAATTTTGATGCTGACAGGTGTATGATTGCAATTTTTAAAACTGTTATTCTTGCAAGAAAAGAACCTAAAATGTTTATAGAGCCAACACTTTCAGGACTTGTGTATGTAATTCAGAGGTAGCTACAGAAACTTTTAAGATGTGCAGAAAAATAACCTGTTAACACAAATTATGGTTTTGTTAGTCCCTAGTATAAAATATAACACACTTAACTGCGCGCATTTAAAATTTTTAAATAGCCCTGTCTGGTGTGGCTCGGAAGGGCATTTCCCCCCAAAGTGAAAGGTTGCCAGTTCGATCCCCGATCAGTGCACATTCCTGGGTTGCAAGTTTGGTCCCTGGCTGGGGCACATGCAAGAGGCAGCTGAGTGATACTTCTTCTCTCACATCAATGTTTCTGTCCCTCTCTTTCCCCCTCCCCTCTCCTCTCTCTAAAAATAAATTTTTTTAGAAATTTATATTTTATTTGACTCAATATATTGCAAAATATCATTTCAACATGCAATCAATATTTTAATAGTATGGTTTACATTTTT